TTTCTATCAAGTTGAAAAATACTTTTTCTCCTTTTTTGAGAAATTTAACTTTTAGTTGTATCTACATAAATAAGGGAATGATATGTCAAAATTTCACATATATCCTTCTCTTTGTATATAAGTATAATATAAACAGCAGCATTTCATGCATGTAGAATAAATGAGGATATAACATATCACATCTTTATTGCATTACCTATACGCAACAACGAGGAAGCCACAACGACGTGATTACATAATGTACCGGTTATTGATTTTGATTACGATACCTTGCACACTTAACATGCAAGGCGTCCCAGATCTACCGAGCAATATTTTACTTATTGTTTTCTTTGATCAATTTTCATCTAATCTTTTCTCTACAAAAATAACGATAGTTTTCAACGTACAAGCAAATTTTTAGGAGCTATAAACGCAGATCTCTCATTTAATTTTAAGTGGATTTTAATCCGTAATTCCATTTAATCTAAATTGACGCAAAAAAATTCGAACTTATATGAAAAACAGGTTCGAATAAATTCGGAAGATTCTGCGTGCCTGATATATTTTGGAATTGATCCTTCGCCGTGATTCTTACGCAGTTTTCGCAGTTCACTTAATTATCTTCTTTTTTTCTTTGGAAAAAGTCATAATTCAATCTATCTCACTGCGCTACGCTACACATCACGGTAAAAATACGTCGATTCACACGAATTCAAGAGATTTCACATTTCACATTCGCGCTGTCAATTAGTCACAACCACGTCTGATTCATTATTGTTTCTTCAGGCGCAATTTCAAAAAGAGAAGAATGTAAGTTTAAAAAAAAATCTTTGTTTAACACTTAATTATTGACATAGTATGTCCAGGAAATCCTTGCCTAAGTTCACTGATTGTGAGTGTATAAACGCTATTTTATATACACATTATATTATGTTTAGTGTAAATTGTTTCGTAATTAAAAAAACATTTTTTACATCTTTTTTATATCTTTATCCTAAGAATGTTAAGTTGAATCGTAATTAATTAAATAGTTAAAAGTAAGAAAGTTAACAACTTTTACTTGGTTAATTTTAATGAATTAATTTTTAATTTCGACTCATTCCCAAGTTATTTAAATAAAATACATTAACTTTACCTTATTAACTTTTTTCTAATTATAAATTAAAATTTTTTTCTTTGACCAATAAGTATTTGTTTTAATCTGAAACATTAGACAATTAGTAAAAGTTCAATGATCGTAATGAGCATCTGCTAGTGTAAGGTTAGTTGCATTTCTCTCAAGTTTTAAAAAAAGGGCAAAAAGAAAAATTTAAAAGCATTATTAAATTTTTATTTAAATAATGTACTGCAATACAGATTTTTGTAATAATCATTAACATCTACTTAAAATAATAAATACTTTAACATTTTATATTTAATTTATTCAATTCATATTGTTATTATTTTATTTAGAGTAATTTACTTTAATTACATTTAGTTTTAATAAAAAAATTATATTTTAATCTAATATAAATAATTTTTAATTTTAATCTAAGTTAGTTTTTGCAACTTTTCATGCAACTTTTAACAGACGTAAGTTAATAGGCCTAACTTTAACTTAATTTAACTTTAAACATAACTTTAATTTAAAACTAATTAACTTTAATTTACCCGATCCTAAAAGGATGTATAGAATATTACCAATTTTTATTTAATTGTAAACATAAATGTAATATCAACTCATCGTTTTGTACAAACTCTTTCAATCGTTATTTTTATATCTCATCACGCATCGTCCATTCTGCGTCAATTCCTTGGACTTTGTCTCGGAGGCAATCGCTGAAAAATATGCAATTGTTAGTCGCGATAACGAAATATCTGTATTTTCATTCGTAATGCCAGTAACTTTCTTTTTTTACGGTTTCTGAGCAAGAGAGAGAGAGAGCCCTCTTGAAAATCGTGAATGATATTATATTTCTCGCATTGCACATCATATTGATACGCTTTGTTTCTTTCTTTTCTTTTTATTGACATGATTTTATCATTTCATAAGGTTCCAGTAAATATTCACAACGTTGTTCCGACGGGCGACGATCTATAGACGATCTATAGACGAGGATATATAGACGTAAAATTTGAAAACTAGAGATTAATAAAGTGAATAATAAAGTGGCTAAACAATACGGAGGGATGAGTGTGCGAGTACCGAGATTTCGGGTTTGAGTCGGATCGGACCAAAATACTTGTAATGTTTGGATATTTGAATTTAAAATCGAGTCGGGCAATAAATTATAGTTGTAGACTTCCTTGTGAACTTTTAAATTTAATTAATTATATTATAGTTTAAGTGGAAAACCTGATTGAAAAATCATGAAAAAGCATCACATTTATGCCGTTAAAAAATTTCTAGATCTATAATCACTGCCTGATCCTGAAAACAAAATCCCGATCCGAATCCGAGGATTGGATACCCGCATATCCCTATCAAACAGCCCTGGCGGAAAAATTTTCACAAAAAATTACATAGATTGAGAAAAATCAAGAAATCCTTCGCCCCTTCCGAATACGTTTTTTGACGATATATTGCAAGTTTTTACAGAACATTTTTTCATATCTTGTATCAAGAGAGACAAACAGTGCCACTCTACGTCCCACGAATATCTACAAAAAAAAATTAAGGATTTCTAAGGCAAACATATCATCATCATCATATCATCATTCTATAAATCTATATATTCTATAAATATCTATGAAATTCCATTATAAATATCTATGAAAAATTAAGAATTTTTTAAATCTTGTCTCACTCTATATACTTTTTCTGTACTAATTCGTAAAAATGTTTTCCGTCAGGAAGGATAAAGACAGTAATTGTTACGTGTTTTATGAACTATTTAGACGTGATCTTTAGATTAGATATCGATGTATCGTATTTAGTAAATTGTTGTATTAGCGGTTGAAAAAAAAAGCGGTTCAATCAAGTTACAAACCTCCGTCATACTGAATCATGATATTATAAACGAAAAATGATACGTTAATTTTTATTACGTACCATTTGTAAATAAAGACAATTTGGATAAATGAAATGATAAGATTGCTTTAAACTTTAAAATATTTGTAGAAACTATTGGACGAAAACTATACTTATTATCAACATATCATTTCTCACTTCTAACGAGTCATGATTCAATATGACTACTCAGGAGTCTTAAATATATACATTTTAATATTTTGATATACATAGTTAGCTTTTATCCTTTTTTATTTGATAAAATGGATATTTATAGTCGTGGTTCCGCGGCGTTCGAAGCAGCAAGTTTCGACACGTTTACGGCGTGCCAGCCAAGAGGGAGAAATGTTACGACAACATCAAGATCACAAAAAATGCCCACGATTCGCAATTCTGCGCCGTAAATCCCAAGTTTCTGGCCGTCGTGACGGAGGTTGCGGGTGGTGGAGCGTTCCTTGTGTTATCATTGGATCGCGTGAGTAGTCTGTGTCTTATCGATTTATCGATTCTAGTCCTGCGCAAGAACAAAAGTATTAGCTAATATCGCATTATTGGAGTCTGAGAAAATAAATTCAGATTTTTTTTGTTTCTCATAGAGATTGTTTTACATAATGATATTCTAAATATCTTACAATTAATTACAGATTTTCATATAACATATTTATGGTCGCGTTATGTCAGTACAAAGTAATATATCAATTATTTGTCACAGACAGATTATTTGTTGCAGACCGGGCGACTTGACTTCAATGCCAGTCGAGTAACTGGACATACCGGTCCCGTTTTGGACATCAAATGGAATCCATTCAACGATAACATCATCGCGTCCTGTTCCGATGATTGCACTGTAAGAAAAATTTATAGGAAGCATTTCCACTTGCATCTCCAAAGCTCATGGGAGATTTCTGTAGAAATGTAAACTACGCGGAATGTAGATTAGAAGATTTAAAATTCACTCCAACACACGCGCGCGCGCGTGTGTGTGTGTGTGTATGTGTGTGTATTCATTTTTCCGATGTTAACATCAAAGTCTGTAATACAGTTACTGATTTAATGGATCTATGAGCTTATATTAACTTATATTGACTAAAGGCATTTAATTATTTTTAAAGAACTAATGTGTTATAACTTATGTAAAAAGAAAGTTGAATACCAAGTTTATTTTAATAACAATAATTCAAATTTGTAGATGCAATATAAAGAATATAATTAAGTGACTCTAATAGACTATCCAGCTCCTACTATCAGCTCCAGAGGATTAGGCTAGAAGTGAATACAAAGATTTTTTTTTCTTTATATCTAGATAAAGTTGTGGCATATACCTGATGGTGGATTGTCAAGGAATTTGACTGAATGGCTGGTGGAGTTGCAAGGACACAAACGACGTGTCGCTTATATCGAGTGGCACCCAGTAGCAGAGAATGTGCTTTTTAGCGCCGGCTTTGATCATCTTGTTATCGTATGGGATGTGAATAGATGTGAGGCAGTTAGCGTCATCGATAGACATCCTGATGTGATTTATAGCATGTCTCTAAATCGTGACGGCAGCTTATTGGCGACCACTTGCAAGGACAAGAAATTGCGCGTTTTTGAACCAAGGTCCGGTATCGTAGTTTCGGTAAGAAAGGACGAAATTTACGCTAAATAGATTGTTAAATATATCTATTTAATAAAAATACAATGTAAAAAGTACAACATAAAAGTTACAATATAACATTAATAATTTCTAATGAAATTGTTTTCTTAACTCTAATCGCATTTGCCTCTGTTAAATTAATTTGACGTTTCAATCACTGGATTATTCTGGTTAAATCTTCACATCTTGAAAATATGTGCTTGCACAATTTTACGGAATGACTCTACATGTTCAATAATTTTATTATCATTACGGACAAATTGCGACCGATGTAATAGAAGAATGTAATTACGAAGATGACAAGACTGAAAGCATTGCATTGTTATGACTGAAAATATATGAAGAAATAGATTCATCACTTTGCGTAATTATAATTTGCAGAAATTGTACTTAACCGTTTTATGATTTTTATTAAATTTATGTTAATTTATCTATATATATAT